CTTCGAGTAAACATAAACGAATTATATTTTGGGGCTAAACGTACTTGCTTGAAATCCCTGGGAAAAGCAGGATTTCCCTATCGAATTTGTTCCAGCATCGTTATTTCATTTCTCTTCTATACCAGCAGAACCAAGCCAAACCAACTAGCAAGCAAATGAAGACTGAAACAACATTTTGACTAAATGTAACAAAGTCGTTTACGAAGAACAGTGCTTCGGAAATGYTGCAAAATGCTGAGACTTTTTTGCGCCAAACAAGTTTAATTTCCTATCAACTGATCTTCATTAAATCCTAGTATTTTATATACCGAGTGTTCATTGRTTAATTCGTGAATGACAAGGAATGAATTTTACTTCATAAACGCGATGGACGCGCAATTCCTTTATATGAGGCTSACAACTTCAAGGTCAAAATGACACGACGTTTTTTTTCCACTTCACACATATTTTAGCAGTTCTAGATAGCACAATAAACAAATGATTAATTGAGATCCGAGTGTTCATCGTGAGAAAGTAAAGCATAGCAACATGAAAATTTGAACTTTGCTTATTAAATTTATTTATTATTTTGCTACAATTTAGGGGGTCTGGGACCGAATTTCAAAAATTAGAGGCTAATGTCGCCAATATTTTTCCATGTGTCATTATCGTATATTTTACTGCTTCTATTCTGGAAATGAGTAACTAACCATTACACATATAATGGGCCATTCAAAGTTCCGACTCTCCTTAGTTACCGTTGCTATGTCCTGTCCCACAAGCTCAACAAATTAGTTAGAATATCTCGGACTTTTTAAAGTTTTAAAAAACTCTAAAAGCGTAAAATAAATCATATTATTACTTCAATTGTTTCATATCCTGAGAGGTTGTTCATGGCGTTTATTACTGTAACGTAGAGTCGACTTACTTTTACATCTCATCGTTTTACTAAGTGWTAAAATTACTACACAAAAAACCACAACGATTCCGAACTGAYCTGTCCAGGTATCTCACTCTCACGTGRCCACACACACTCAGCACGTGATCACTGCGTGATCCAATCTTAATGTCAACTAATGTTTAAAGTGTCCGSGACAGTAATTGGCAATTTTTTGCTATTGTCTGACGGAGTCGGAACTATGGATTGATTTGTAGACCATGAGGGAGAGAGGTCTAATTGTTTTTTTTTAAAACCCAGTATTGAATTAGTGAATTAAATGACTGGCAAACAATTTTGAAATTAGGCCGACACTTTTCGCTACCKAGCGGGGTCTATCACTAATAGACTACCAGTGCCTCAGCCAATCAGAGCGCAGCATGTTCGACTACCCAATTTTGTGTATCTATTAAATTTCATCRAAGATGAATACTTTAAAGTGTGCACAAATGATCTCATAAGTTAAGTAAATGAAGAGAGGAGCTAGAATCAAGTGTCCGTCTGTTTCGTTTTGTAATTTTATGCCAACCAAGAAGTGATGAGATGTTGCCTTAAAGGATGCGTGGATCAAAAGAAAGTATTAAACAGATTTCTATTATTGCAATCAGGCTTGGATCCAGGAATTTGTTATGGGGTGTCCCAAATRAAGAAATGTTTAAAGAGATGTTATGCTTTTATCAAAAACGAGTATCGAAGTAATTGCGGCGTTTTGAAATACCTTTTACCTTTGACGTCTTTTTGATTACAATAAAAATATTAAAAAAAAGTATAAATACTTCAATATATAATTCGAGGAAGGCGAAGTGAATTGAATATGGGGTCATATTTATCCGAGACGTTAGTGGCGAAGTAAATATATACATCTTAGACCCGTCCACACGCAACCGGAAACTTTTGTATCCGCAATTTTTTTATTTTTTTATTATTATTTGCGGATACGGGTTGCGTCCACACGTGTCCGGAAATTTTTGTGTCCGTATTCGAAAATTTTCGAAAACGGTCTCCAGAGTGGAAATTTTCTAGTACGCTCCGAATACGGATACGTGTGGACGGTCGTATCCGCAAATTTTCGAATACGCTGACGTAAACACGATTTCGCGCATGCTCGATAAGAAAAACTATCCGTCAAAGGGACTAGACACTAGCGTGCATCAGGGCGGATGAATAAATTTCCGGATAGTGAAAACGATTCGAAAACGACACACTGCGTGTGGACGCGAACATTTCCCTACTCGCACATTTTTTTTGCGGTGGTAGTGGTGGTGATGATGACGATGGTGTTGATGAAGATGATAATGAAGGTGGTTATGATGGTGATGATGATGGTGATGGTGATGATATGGTCATGATGACTTGTGGAGATGGCGATGGCGGTGATAACAAATGAAAACGGCTGCTAAAGGCGTCTTCACATGCTTTCAGCTCGAAGCCGTTGAGCTGCGCCACTGCTGTACTTGCGGTGGTGATAAATGATGCCGTTTTCCTTTCTATAATGATAACTGTAATGATGACGATAATGATAATTTTTTTTACTTATATTTATTAGCTTTTATCCCTAAATTTTTAGAATTATAGTGCTACAAATTACAAATTTATATATTGCTACTATATCATTATTATTATTATTGTTCATATATTATTATCATTATTATTATAATTATATATTTTTTATTGCTTGTACATAATTACGTAATTCAGCCCATGGGCTGCGATAAAATTTTCAATAAATATCTATTTAAATCTATCTAAATCTAAATGAATAAATAAGTAATACAAAAAAGTCTTTATTCCTCAACAAGAGTTAGGTTTAGGGTTAGGGATAGGGTTAAATAGGGGAATGCTGTAAAACATTGGCCAGTGACTCCAATGTTTTGTGAAAAATAGTGCTAGCGGTGTGTAACATCCCAATTCCAATCATTTGCTTTCGTTTTCAGCACGGTTATAGTATTACCCCTTTTGAACCCTAACCCTCAATGACATGAGTGTATGTTGGGAATTGACGTAGTGATCATAATTCAAAAGGTAAAGAAGTTATCGTCCAAGAGAACAAGAGATCCGGGCCTGCTTCACGACGCCCGAGAGGACGAAGGTAGGCCCAGATATGYCAAGTTTTCTCATAGACGAGTATGTTCTGTTGGGTGGAAAAACAAAACTTAATCTCAGAAGATCGCAACAACAAAGCTACTCCAGAAATTTYAAACTTTGATATCTTTTAGTGACTTGGCGGGTATTCTCCGTCTGGGCACGTTGTGAGGCAAGGGCCCGCGCAAGTGTGGCCGCTATCGATGTTCGCCTAAAATCGTCTGAAGCTAATTATCGTTGAGTTCTAGCACGGATTYTGACTTAGAGGCGTTCAGTCATAATCCAACAGATGGTACTTTTTCAGCCAAGTCCAAATTGCTAATTGTGTGAATCTGCGGTTTCACCCGTACTGAGCAAAATTACTATTGCAACAACACTTCATCAGTAGGGTAAAACTAACCTTCCTCACGACGGTCTAARCCCAGCTCACGCTTCCTATAAGTGGGTGAACAATCCAACACTTCGCGAATTCTGCTTCGCAAAGATAGGAAGAGTCGACTTTGTAGGATCGAAAAGCAACGTCGCTATGAACGTTTCGCTGCCACAAGCCAGTTTATCCCTGTGCCAACTTTTCTGACACCACTAACTTAAAGCTCCTAAAGACTAAAGGATCGATAGCCCATGCTTTCACAGTTTGTATACATACCGAAAATCAAAATCAAGTGAGCTTTTACCCTTTCGTTCTACATGATATTTCTGTTCTCATTGAGTTCACCTTAGTAGGACACCAGGCGTGGGACTAGGTGAGAGCGCCGAATCCTAACCACTAGACCATTTGGGAATACGATAAATGTACATTTACGATAGTGGTATGTCACCTTAATTTCAGCCGATGAAATACGCCTTTTGCYTTCTTATATGCCAAATAAAAAGRCAAAAATGATAAGAATACTAAATTGTTTCTATTTTGAAGCAGCTGAGTCAAACCTAAAAGGAAAAAAAGATGATGATTCGAAATAAAGGTAATGAGAACCTAACGACGTACGGAAGCTCTGTTTAATAAGGCTTTTCATAGTTTAAGAATCGATTCCACTGCGCATGCGGTTTTATCCCGAATTTCTCACCTTCTTTTGTTTAATTAAGAACAAAAGAAGGTTTAGACAAAAGAAGGTGAGAAATTCGGGATAAAATCGCATGCGCAGTGAATTCGATTCTTAAACTATGAAAAGGCTTATTATGCACACACACACACACACACACACACACACAAAATAATAAAAAAAATTAATTTTTAGCAATAATAATTCTAAAAATTTAGGGATAAAAGCTAATAAATATAAGTAAAAAAAATTATCATCATCGTCATTATCGTCATCATTACAGTTATCATCATAGAAAGGAAAACGGCATCGCTTATCACCACCGCAAGTACAGCAGTGGCGCAGCTCAACGGCTTCGAGCTGAAAGCATGTAAAGACGCCTTTAGCAGCCGTTTTCATCATCGTCATGTAACATTTGTTATCACCGCCATCGCCATCTCTACAAGTCATCATGACCATCATCATATCATCACCACCACCATCATCATCACCAYCACCACTACCATCATCATTATCATCTCCATCATCACCATAGTCATCATTATCACCACTACCATCATCATCATCATCTCCATCATCATCATAAGGATGTACATGATATTTTCTCACAAATCCCTCGGTCAAGTGAATAACCTGCGTTAACAGGAGCAAAGTTTCGCAAAATTTCGATAATAGTTTTAAATTAACTTATTTATTTTAGGACTATTACATCATATTTTCTTTCTGTCAAAAAAAAAACCATCCCACGTTCACGCGATAAGCCTGCGTTAACAGCAGTTTCTTGCACTTCCATCCGTATCCAAAACGGCTGTTTACACAGACTATCACGTGGTATGTGACTCCACCCACTGTGTTTGACGAAATACTCAAACAATGCTGCTWAGAGTTGTTTGTTGATTGAACACTTTGTTTGACTCTCCSGAATACTTGGTTATTACATTTATGGTGGGGTCGATTATCACATTTATGGTTGACTGTTATTGCATTTATGGTTGTTATTACAATTATGGTTGATTTTTATTACATTTTTATTACATTTATGGGTTTTATTACATTTAAGGGTAATACGAGAATTTCTTTTTTTCTCTTACAATACTATTTCTCTCTGCAAGCAGCACAATTCGACAAACGAGCGTGCGCATCGCGCGTCAGATTCACCTGTAGGTGAATATATAGCTCTTATTAACCTCGTTTGCTCGGTCCGTACCTTAAGTTATGGACCGAGTTTTTYCYACTGCCTTATGGCCCAAGCGCGTAGCGCGCGGGCCATAAAAAAGTGGAAAAAACGAGGATCCATAACTTACGGTACGGACCGAGCAAACGAGGTTAATAAGATATTTATTATATGGCAAGGCATTGAGATTAAAAAGAGGCGAAGCAACAAAAAGTAAAGTTAACAGCGCATGTCAAACGAGAACTGCATTTGGAAGGGCTTTCTGTACGTGCTACAAGTCACGTATGTTTGAGTCGCTCAAAAAGAGAAGTTTTAGTTTACTTTGAAAGAATTTAACAATAGCTTAAAGTTTTCTGAAATACTAGTTAACAAAAGTGAGGCTTTCTTTTGCAAAACATGTAAATGCAAAGCAAAAAAGGCATCAAAAGAAGACCTCAAGAACAGTTTTTTTTATTCAAACGTGGGACGTTTGTCACAACTCTGTATTACCATGCTTCGGGAATAAATCGGAAAGCGGCCAAGCGAGATCAGACCGTGCATGGTGCGAAAGAATTTGGTGTTATGGTCATTAGCAAA